ACCAGAGAGAGACCAGAGAGAGAGACCAGAGAGAGACCAGAGAGAGAGACCAGAGAGTTAGACCAGAGAGAGACCAGAGAGAGAGCACCAGAGAGTTAGACCAGAGAGAGACCAGAGAGACCAGAGAGAGACCAGAGAGAGACCAGAGAGACCAGAGAAAGACCAGAGAGAGACCAGAGAGAAACCAGAGAGAGACCAGAGGAACCAGAGAGACCAGAGAAAGAGACCAGAGAGAGAGACCAGAGAGAGACCAGACAGAGACCAGAGAGAAACCAGAGAGAGACCAGAGAGAGACCAGAGAGAGACCAGAGAGAGACCAGAGAGAGACCAGAGAGAGACCAGAGAGAGACCAGAGAGAGATCACAGAGAGATCACAGAGAGACCAGAGAGAGACCAGAGGAAGACCAGAGAGAGACCAGAGAGACCACAGAGAGACCAGAGAGACCAGAGAGAGACCAGAGAGAGAGACCAGAGAGGGACCAGAGAGAGACCAGAGAGAGACTAGAGAAAGACCAGAGAGAGACCAGAGAGAGACAGGAGAGAGACCAGAGAGAGACCAGAGGGAGACCAGAGAGAGACCAGAGAGACCAGAGAGAGACCAGAGAGAGACCAGAGAGAGACCAGAGAGAGATCACAGAGAGATCACAGAGAGACCAGAGAGAGACCAGAGGAAGACCAGAGAGAGACCAGAGAGACCACAGAGAGACCAGAGAGACCAGAGAGAGACCAGAGAGAGAGACCAGAGAGAGACCAGAGAGAGACCAGAGAGAAACCAGAGAGAGACCAGAGAGACCAGAGAGAGACCAGAGAGACCAGAAAGAGACCAGAGAGAGACCAGAGAGACCAGAGAGAGACCAGAGAGAGATCACAGAGAGACCAGAGAGGGACCAGAGAGAGACCAGAGAGAGACTAGAGAAAGACCAGAGAGAGACCAGAGAGAGACAGGAGAGAGACCAGAGAGAGACCAGAGGGAGACCAGAGAGAGACCAGAGAGACCAGAGATAGACCAGAGATAGACCAGAGAGAGACCAGAGAGATAGACCAGAGAGAGACCAGAGAGAGACCAGAGAGAGACCAGAGAGAGACCAGAGAGAGTATGAAGCAGAGCTGGTGGAAACAGGGCTATAGTACAGAACAGATTAAAAGTCTGTTTTAAATGTCTTCTCAGGAGCACCGCTGGAGACCAAGTAGCAGCTGCTCCATCATGGTGTCGACAGAGACAGAGACCAGAGAGAGACCAGAGAAACCTCATGTTGATGGATGTGTTTTTACAAAATATAATTCTGCAAATATTCTATGTGTGTAATGTGTTAGCTTCAGTCTATTCACTCTGGTCTCTCTCTGGTCTCTCTCTCTCAGGTTTCTCTCTGGTCTCTCTCTCTCTGGTCTCTCTCTCTGGTCACTCTCTCTGTTCTCTCTCTCTGGTCTCTCCCTCTGGTCTCTCTCTCTCTGGTCTCTCTCCCTCTGGTCTCTCTCCCTCTGGTCTCTCCCTCTGGTCTCTCTTTGGTCTCTCCCTCTGGTCTCTCTCTCTCTGGTCTCTCCCTCTGGTCTCTCTCTCTCTGGTCTCTCTCTCTGGTCTCTCTCTCTCTGGTCTCTCTCTCTGTTCTCCCTCTGGTCTCTCCCCTCTGGTCTCTCTCTGGTCTCTCTCTCTCTGGTCTCCCTCTGGTCTCTCTCTCTGGTCTCTCTCTCTGGTCTCTCTCTCTGGTCTCCCTCTGGTCTCTCCCTCTGGTCTCTCCCTCTGGTCTCTCTCTGGTCTCTCTCTCTCTGGTCTCCCTCTGGTCTCTCTCTCTGGTCTCTCTCTCTCTGGTCTCTCTCTCTGGTCTCTCTCTGGTCTCTCTCTCTGGTCTCTCTCTCTGGTCTCTCTCTCTGGTCTCTCTCTGTCTCTCTCTCTGGTCTCTCTCTCTCTGGTCTCTCTCTCTGGTCTCTCTCTCTGGTCTCTCTCTCTGGTCTCTCTCTCTGGTCTCTCTCTCTGGTCTCTCTCTCTGGTCCCTCCCTCTGGTCTCTCTCTGGTCTCTCTCTCTGGTCTCTCTCGCTGGTCCCTCCCTCTGGTCTCTCTCTGGTCACCGGTTCAGGGAAAAGTCCTCACAGTCCCAGACTAAACTAAAAGCAGGCTTTTTTTTATAATTTAAAAATGTTATTTCAGTTATTTCTCTCTGTTACCTTGGTTACTAAAACCGTATACCACACAAAATACTGCAGTGTTTCTATGACAGTCAGGGAGTAAAGACTGAGCCGGGGCAGATTGTACACAGGCTAATGCTAATGCTAATGCTAACGCATTTCTTCCGTTGCTTATCAGGCATTTTCCTACAAACCAACACCCGTTAGTGAAATAAATGTTAGCAAAATAGAGACTCCATAAGTTCCCCACTTGATATGAGCAGTTGTCACAACTGCACACGCCACAGATAAAGAGCTTTTTGACTCTGAATCAGTGAAGATTTACGTTGTTCTAAGGGGAGATTTACTTCCGGGTCCCTCGGAGCACTTTCGCGCCGCTTCGTGACGTCAGCTGCAAACAGCGATGACGTCCACTAGAGGGCGCTAAAGCCTTTCTCTGCTTTATCTGTCTGCTCTCTTTGAACAGTTGTGGACTGGTGCGTGCGTTTTGAGTGTGCGTGTGTGTGTATGGGTGTGTGTGTATGGGTGTCCGTGTGTGTGTGGGTGTGTATCCGTGCGTGCGTGTATGTGCGTGTGTGTATGGGTGTGTGTGTGTGTATGGGTGTCTGTGTGTGTGCTTGTGTGTGTGTGTGTGTGTATCCGTGCGTGCGTGTGTGTATGGGTGTGTATGGGTGTCTGTGTGTGTGTTTTTGTGTTTCTAAATGTGTGTGTGTGTGTGTATCCATGGTTACAGCAGTTGGAGATGGAGCAGCAGCTGATAGACCTCAGAATAAACACAAAAGTTCACACAGTTCAGACATGCTCAGAATGTTGTTCATGGTTTTTGTCAGATTGCTAATAAATCACTTTCTCTCTCTCTGGTCTGTGGTCTCTCTCTCTCTGGTCACTCTATGGTCTCTCTCTGGTCACTCTATGGTCTCTCTCTGGTCTCTCTCTCTGGTCACTCTGGTCTCTCTCTCTGGTCACTCTATGGTCTCTCTCTCTGGTCTCTCTCTGGTCTCTCTCTGGTCTCTCTCTCTGGTCTCTCTCTGGTCTCTCTGGTCTCTCTCTGGTCTCTCTCTCTGGTCGCTCTGGTCTCTCTCTGGTCACTGGTCTCTCTCTGGTCACTCTCTGGTCTCTCTCTCTGGTCACTCTCTGATCTCTCTCTGGTCTCTCTCTCTGGTCACTCTATGGTCTCTCTCTGGTCTCTCTCTGGTCTCTCTCTCTCTCTCTCTCTGGTCTCTCTCTGATCTGTCTCTGGTCTCTCTCTCTGGTCTCTCTCTGATCTCTCTCTGGTCTCTCTCTGGTCTCTCTCTGATCTCTCTCTGGTCTCTCTCTGGTCACTCTATGGTCTCTCTCTGGTCTCTCTATGGTCTCTCTCTGGTCTCTCTCTGGTCTCTCTCTGGTCTCTCTCTGGAGCAAGGGGAAACACGGCGGCCATCTTGATCATGTTAAAAAGGTTTTTATTTCAACAACTTTCTCAATCGCTTCTTGTTTATTCTTTGTTCAAAGTTCAAAAAAGTACAAAATCAAACTCAAAATACACCAAAGGATTAGAAATCACAAAGACACAGTTCCATCGATCATTACCTTGTTCACCACATGGTTAGTCACCGACACATGGTTAGTCACCGACACATGGTTAGTCACAAACACTCAGGAGTTTATACAACAACTTTACAACTTCATTATTCTTTTTAATTGCAAAATACACGGATGCAGGAAGTGAGTGTGAGAGAGTACTCCAGTTAAGCAGGCAGGGCGTGAGAGAGTACTCCAGTTAAGCAGGCAGGGCGTGAGAGAGTACTCCAGTAGGGTAGAGTAGAGTAGAGTAGAGTAGAGTCGAGTCGAGTCGAGTAGAGTGGGGCTGGTGGAAAGAGGGCTCTACATGTGTGCACGGCTGGGGGAGACAGTGACATGAAGAACCATAAACACTCTGCTCTATTCCAACCAGAGAGAGACCAGAGAGAGACCAGAGAGACTAGAGAGAGACCAGAGAGAGACCAGTAAGAGACCAGTAAGAGACCAGAGAGACTAGAGAGAGACCAGAGAGAGACCAGTAAGAGACCAGTAAGAGACCAGAGAGAGACCAGAGAGAGACCAGAGAGAGAGACCAAAGAGGGACCAGAGAGAGACCAGTAAGAGACCAGAGAGAGACCAGAGAGGGACCAGTAAGAGACCAGAGAGAGAGACCAGAGAGAGACCAGAGAGAGACCTGAGAGGGACCAGTAAGAGCAGAGGTGATGTGTGTTCGGAGAGTCAGACACAAACTAAAGTGTCGTTGGCAGCAGCACAAACTTTACAATGTTTTCCGGAACGTTTTCACGAGTTCGACATCACAGACTGTTTACAGAAGGACAATGCTAACGTAAGCCGCTAGCTCCATGCTAACCTGCTAGCAAAGTTCCTACTGACGTACTTCTGCATTAAGGCTAACACGTGGTGATGTCACACTCCTCATGAACAGTCTATGGTCAAACTCAGAGTCAATAAACATGTTTCAAGTGAATTAATA